CCAGGGTCCCTGCAGGAACCCCACGGGGCTGGGAGGATGGGGGGAGCACCAGGGTCCCTGCAGGAACCCCACGGGGCTGGGAGGATGGGGGGAGCATCAGGGTCCCTGCAGGAACCCCACGGGGCTGGGAGGATGGGGGGAGCACCAGGGTCCCTGCAGGAACCCCACGAGGCTGGGAGGATGGGGAGAACACCAGGGTCCCTGCAGGAACCCCACGGGGCTGGGAGGATGGGGGTGGGTGCAGCGTTCTGACCCTGGCCCTGGCCCGCAGGGAAAGAGGCTGCAGGAGGAGGCCATGGGCCGGTGTCCGGGCCGCCTGACCCCTGGCACCACTCCTGCAGGGCCACTTCCCAGTGGGGAGAAGCAGCCGGAGCCCACACCTGCCTGTTCAGCAGTGCCCTGGCCCCGTGTCCGTGGCTCCTGCTGCCCTCTGGTGTTCGGCGCTGGAACTGCTCCGCCTGACCCCATACTTGATGTCTGGCGGAAGCCGGTGCTTACTGCAAAAAGGGCTTTATTGTGACAGTTCCCACCGGGGGGCAGAGCACAGAGCGTGGACAAAACCTCAGGTTCCGAATGGAGCGGTGGACACAGTGGGCCAGTGACAGAGACTGCCTGTGCCCGGGTGGCCCTCAGTGGCCTTGGGTGACCTGGCTTAGCCCTGGGTGGCCCTGGTTGGCCTAGATGACAGGGGGTGACTCTGCCTGGCTCTGGGTGACCCTGGGTGGCCCCGAGGCTTTGATTTTCTTTTTACAACTCTTGCAGCTCTATTTAGTCCCATCTCGACCTGGACCCTCCTAATGCACGCACCTCTAGGAGCGGATGAAACGGGCCGACCGCCCTCTCCCGCCCAGCAGCTCAGTTTTGGGGTGTCCTCTTGGCCAGGAGGGGCCCATTCAGCCAGCCGGTGGGGGGAGCCTTAAGATTTTACTTTAGCTCACAAGGTGAAAATCTGCCCCCGCTAGTCCCGCTGTGCAACCTCACCAGAATGGACTCTCTCTGACCCTCGGTGCCCTCCTCTGCAACGTGGAATGAGCGGTTCTTCCCTCGAAGAATTCACGTACCATCAGCTGTCCGGGACGTGGCTGGCGTCACCAAAAATCCCCTGTACCCAACTACGAGGCTCTCGTAGTCGAACGGGGGAGAAACACACACAAACCCCCACGGGGCAAATGATCTGTGAACTAACTGAGGTTTGGACATAGGAGAGCCCAGGCCAAGACAGGACTAAATGCAGCTGAAAGAGTTGTAAAAAGAAAATCAGAGCCTCAGGGCCACTCAGCATCACCCAGAGCCACCCGGGGTCACCCCATGTCATCTAGGTCAACCAGGGCCACCCCGGGCCACCCCATGTCATCTAGGTCAACCAGGGCCACCCCGGGCCACCCCATGAAACATTAAATTCATATCAGCGTGGCTTAGTGGCTTCAGTTTTAGGTGCAGCCGAGACGGGGAATCAGCCTGCGTGTGCCACAGAGGAGCGACAAGGAAGACGTGCATGCACAGAGTGTGATGCCACCCCACCTTGAAGAGGAGGAAATTCCTGACCCGCGCTGTTGCAGGCACGAGGCTGGGGGATTTGACGCCAGTGACATGAGAAGCCGGCAGGAGTCCCTGTCCACGGGGTCCCTAGAGTTGTGAGCGTCACGGAGCGGGAAGTCCAAGGGGCTCGCCAGGGGCTGCTGGTGGGGGTGGGGGTGGGGGGCAGAGTTTAAGGTGTGCAAGGTGAGTTCTGGAGATGCGCTGTGTGACACTGCGTGACACTGCGTGACACTGTTCCCATGGTGACAGTGCTGTGTCGTGCACTCAGGGTTGTGCTGCGAAGGCTGAGCCCCTGCTGTGTTCTTAGCACAGTAAAAAATTCAAAGCAAAGCAAACACACAACGAACCCTGAAAGATGATTATTGTTGGCCCGGCGAGGTGGCTCGTGCCTGTCATCCCAGCACTCTGGGAGGCCGAGGTGGGAGGATGTTTGAGCTCAGGAGTTCAAGGCAAGCCGGAGCAAGAGCGAGATCCCGTCTCTACTAAAAATAGAAAGAAATTAGCTGGACAACTTAAAATATATAGAAGAAAAACTTAGCCGGGCATGGTGGTGCATGCCTGTAGTCCCAGCTACTCGGGAGGCTGAGGCAGGAGGATCGCTCGAGCCCAGGAGTTTGAGGTTGCTGTGAGCTAGGCTGACGCCACGGCACTCTAGCCCGGGCAACAGAGCGAGACTCTGTCTCA